CAATAGTTCTCCTTACCTGACGTGATTTCTCTTAAAGGGGTGTGTGTCCTGCAGGGAAAGGGAAGAGGAAACCAACCGAGCAACTATTCACCTTAATGTAAAATTCTCAGTACGTTGACTGGGGCAGGTGTCCATTAAGTAGGCAGAAAGCAGCCTGGGAAGCCCCGTGTGGACAGGGACCTGGACAAATGTGGCCTTTCATGGGGAAAATGTTCCTCCCAGTTACAGCCGGGTGGAGATCACGCAGGACTCCTGCCATTCTGGACAAGGTACGAGCTTCAGCCAGAAACAGGTTTGGGGACATTTGCCCTTCCCTGAGAGAAAAGGCTACCCTTAAATGCAGACACACCTGGCTGTCTGTTGGAATTATAGCAAAGCTGTTTTAAGTAGAAAGTTCAAAGAGGATTCAGAGTAATTGATTGGTCACTCATGGCCTTATAGATGGAAGGGGGCCAAAAATTAAGGAAGGCAGTCAGCTCTCAAATGTGGAAAGCAATGAGGACAATGAATTCCATCCTAGATCCTCTGCAAGAAACAGCCTGTGCAACCAATTTTGGATTTCTCACTTCTAGAGCCAAGAGAATAAATCTGTATTTCTTTGGGCCACTAAGTTGTGGTCATTTCTTGTACCAGCCAATGAAAACGATCATAGAAATTTCTGTATTGTGTGTGGTACTATGTATTGCCTAATTCAAAATTCAACCAAAACAAAGCAAGAAACCTATTCAGGACAGAGAATCAGTGTCATCTATTAAATGCCCATAACACCGCTCGCTGTTCAACCAAAACACAATGTAGGCATGAGAAAGGCATATGCACTTTCTCTAAAGGTTCTATTTTTAAAAAGGAAAATAAACAGAAAAATTAATTTTAGTAATCAAAAGCTTCAACTTCACATATTTAAAACGATAAAATGCAATGGGTATGGATGTTATCAGGAGAGTCCATGTGTTTCCTCATCCTGCATCTGAAATATGATTTGCCTCTGCAGTTCCAGTAGATCTCTATTCAAACGGTCACTTTGCAAATGCTGAAAGGCCACACATACCTTAGGGGCACAGTATTGAAAAAATGATTGTTTAGAACAGCTAGAGGATGAGGGATGGGGAAAAGGAAGAGAATGCGATTTTACTGGGGATACAACTCAGGTGTTGAACACCTGCCTAATACACACAGGGCTCTAGGTTCTATCCTGTCATTGTTGATATTGATTGTCCTTTTGCCTTAATGGAGGAAAATCAGAGAGATTGCTGAAGCATTTGATGTATCTTTGAGGACATTTTCAAAGACAAATGGATCATCAAGAACCCGACAATGAATGGCTTAATTCATTGATGGATTCAAAATTCAAATATAGATCAAATATCTTTTATTCATGTATGGGATTACCAAAGTATACAGACTTATAAAATATTGAAGACTATTGCGAAGTAGCGAACCTGGGGAGGGTAGAAAGGATGCCTGGAGGACCCGGGTTAGCCAGAGGATGTCCTTCATGGCTATACCCTGCCCTGGCCCCTGGCAATCATGCTGTTTCTGTTTCCAGACCTTGACGGAGTTAGCTGCTCTGCCATGATTTCCCCACCACGATGAGCTGACACCTCTGAAATACTGAGCAAAATCCTTCCTCCCTTAAGATGTTTTTTCAGGATTTTTTGGTCACAATTTTATAAAGCTGACTAACACAGTCCCCACCACTTCAGAGGGAGAGGGAGAAAGAGAAAGAGTGGATGGGCATAGAATTGCTGAAACGTTTACAGAAAGATGTTTTCCAGCAAAATTTAAAACAGGTATACCTTTCATTCGGATGTATAGCTTAGAAATTTAGTATACAAAGGTATCTGGTCCTAGTCCGCATCTCGGCAGCTGTGGTAGAACACTGACCAAAACCAGTTTGGGGAAGAAAGGGTTTATCTTAGCTTAGAGTTCTAGCCTGTCGTTGAGGGACTCCAACACAGGGACCCAAGGCAGGACTCTGGAAGCAGGAACCCAGGAACCGAAACAGAGGCGGTGAAGAAATGCTGCTTCCTGGCTTGCTCCCAAGGTCACACTCAGCTTTTCTAGCCAGGCCCACGGCCCTAGAGCAGTACTGCCCTCAGTGGGGTGTGTCCCACAGGTCAATATTTTTAAAAGCTCCACGGACATACCCCCAGGCCAGTTCCTCAGTTGAGTTCCCCTCATCTCAGGTGTGTCAAGCTGAAGGTAACTGTGACAGCATGTATTAAACAGTTACATGTTAAAAAATACGACAGCTTTAAAACATTGCTTAAAAGCTTGTAAAAAAATCAAAACTGATCCAATGTACAAACACACTATTTGTTCTGTCTTACCTATCATCATCATCATCTACTTATTTATTAAATGGAGACAAGAGCTCATGTAATCTACCCTGGCCTCCAACTTGCCGTGTGACCAAGGATGACCTTAAATTCTTGACCTGCTTCCTTTCCTATCTGGGCCAGTTCACCCCTCCTTAGGTAACCTGGTGGTCCTCACTCCTGGGAAGTTACCATATTGCTACCTAGCTTTGCGTGGACACCCGACTGGCACAACACATTACTTCCCAGAACTCCTGCACTTAGGCAATTCTCTTGCCTCAGCCTCTTGAGTAGCTAGGGCAGCAGGCCTGTGCCGCTGTGCCTGCCTGACCTTGAATTCTTCTGCCTTATGGTTGGTAAGGGCTCTGGATCTTTGACTATGTTTGCAGTGACCTTTCTCAGTGAGAAAAGCCAGGCAAGAAGTACTTTTCTGAAAATTATTGTTAAGAATATCAACAAATAAATGCACAAGTATATTATGTGTACCAAGAGGTTAATAATAGTTACCCTGTGAAGTAGTGTTAAAATGTTGTGATATTATTGATTTTCTCCTTATATACATTTTGCTGTTTATTTTATCTCCTAAAAAAAAAAGAAAATCAGCATGCAAATGTCACATACATCATGTGGTTTTTGTATACATGTGCTGTGGATGTATACACACATATGCATATGTGTCAAAAATAAGTTGCTAGTCAATACTGTAGAAGCCACACCAACAGTTATGCCATTATTAAAGCATCAGCCCCCCCCCATGAATAACCTTCTATGGGATATACGGGGTCCCCTTGCCTTTTACCAGGCAATTGTTCCTAATCAGAGGGAACGTCGTCACTGTCCGTTCTATAAAGCAATGCTTACCGTATGCACTAACGTAATCTCCCTTCCGAGCAACACTCTGCCTTCAAACCACAATAGAAATGCAGGGCTATTTTTGCTGTGCTGAGAAACATTCTTCACTTTCTCAATTTCACACTCTCCTAACTCTACCCAATACCCAGGTAATAAAGAATTGTTAGAAAGCTTGAATGCCAGCCAGCCAGATGGCTCAGCAGGAAAAGTGTTTGCCATGCAAGTCGGATGACCTGAGTTGGATCCATAGGACCCACGCTGAAACGAGCAGACCGGCTCGCCAAATCTGTCCTCTGACCTCTAAAGCACATCGTGACACGCACGCACTCTCTCATACACACGTGCACAAATAAAATCAAATAAAATAGATAAGAGTTTAAATTTACAAGGAAAATGGGAAGAGAATAGGAACAAATTGAATACTGAATAGAGATCTATGTTTGGGGAGATGATGGGGACCTGTGATTGGTATTTTCATAAACAGTCATCTTGTCGGTTGCCATCAAAATATTGAGTCTGTGTTGATCTCAGCCTTTATCATAGAAGCTTGTTTATGCAGTAGGTGGTGGTCAATCCAGAGGCATGTCACTGGTTAACTTGTTGAGAAAAAAACGACTGTGTATACTCCACCCTAAGTGAGATACCTGTAGCAATCTCTCCCCAGCAAGGCTGGAGGAGTGTCCCAGGAGAGGGGCTGGAGAAAGCATAAAAGCTGGGGGTGGCAGAAGCGTCCTGAATGCTGTCTTATAGACATGGCACACCTTACACACTCATGAACTCACAGGAGATGTGGCTCTGCGCGAGATCAATCCCCAGGATGGGAGGCGGAGGGGCTCCCAAGGCCTCGTTCATAGCAGAGCAACGGTTGGCTGTTGGTAGCTGATGGAGGGAAGGGATCTGTTTTCCTTGCGTGCTATAGTGACTGGCCTGGTGTCTGTGTTTCAGTGGACGGCCCCGCACCCACACACACAGGGCAGCACTAAATGGACTTAGTGAGATATTATTTTTCCAAAGAAGACAGGAAGTTGGGGGTGTGACACACTGGGGAGGGGCCTAGGGAGACTTTGGAGGTAGGAAATTAGGGGATGTATACAATCAAAATACACTGTAATACATGTATGGGATTCTTAAAAAATGTAATTTTATTGACCCAAACCAACAAAAAATACTTCATGCCCTAATTTAAAAAATGAAAATTTCTGGAATATCAAGAATATGTCAGAGTCCGTGTCTTTCCATAGCTCACACTGGGTCACTATTATCTGGTGGGTGGCATATGCCGATCAAGCTTGTCACCCACGGACCAGGTGGGGTCTGTCTCCTCTGGATTCGAAAATGCCACTAACTGGGACCCGCAGCAGCTCAGGCAGCTCTGAGAACTGAGGACATGAGACTCCTCTAATTTAAGTCATTCACACAGCAGCATGGCAGCTGTGGCAGGTGCAGCATCAGCCCGCTGCTCTGAGAGGCTGCCACTTAAAACAGCCCAACTCAGGAGCGGTGTGAGTGTGGTCCTTAGACAGGCCTGTGAGACCGAGTTCCCCAGAATATTCCCACCAGGCAATGGTGACCTGCAAGAGAGTTGGGCCTGAACCCCAAAGGATTTCATAATATTTATGTTTTATATCTTTTTTTCCCTGTAGCCATTAACATTCCAAGGGTAGTGTGACCCTCTTCTGCATCCTTCCTCTCCTGTGCGCACATGTGTGTGTGTGCATGTGTGTGTGTATGTGTATGTGTATGATAGACAGTGTATTGCAGAAACCCTCTGAAGTAAGTATTCAAAGGTACTTTGCCATCTCTAATTCCAGCTTTCCTCCGTCCCCGCAGATAAATTTCAAGATGGCAGAGCAGACTGAGGAAGCACCAAACCCATTCATTTGAACAAACAGGCAGTAAGGAACCTGTACACTTCAGATACCAGGGATAGAATATCAGCTGAAATATAGAGTTTGTGTTAGGTAAGCCACTTGGAATATTTTATTCAATTATCAAACACAATCAATAATAAAAAATAGCCCATTAGACCAAACAGCAGACTATTTCAGAAATTCTTTTGATAGTCTTTAAAAAATAATATCTTTGAGGTATATATTGAAATATAAAGCAACTAATCATATATTAAGTTGTATAGTTTATCCTGATTTATTTGTTTGTATACAACATAAAGTAACCTGTTAATTTAAAATCAATTTTGCCTTATATTTCATGAATTCTTTTCATGTTTTGTTTGATTGACTTTTCACATCATGGGTATTGTATTTATTGGAGTCGATTGGAAACATAGCTTTTGGAGGCTAGTCCTTGCTCAATTCTGTCTGAACAGTGGAGATACTTGTTTCTGCATCATTATTGGAGAATGGCCTTCGCTCTCTCCCCTATTTTGTGCTTCCCTCCCCCACCTTTTTAAAAAAGCAAGATTTCTCTATCTATCTCAGGCTAGCCTGACACTCACTCTGTAGTCCAGGCTGCCTTCGAACTTCAGCTGCTGAAGTGTCGGGGCTGCAGCCGAGAGCCACCAGCCTGGCAGCTTTTTGTCTTTTTAAAATGATCTTTAAAGTGCAGACTTGCAGAGGCCTAGAGAATTTATTCCTGTGCAGTTACACCCCACGGACAATGGCTAAAGATTTGTAAGTTCTTCTTGGTTTTATTTTCACTAATTTTGTTGGATGGCATCTCCAAACATCCTTAAACGAGCAACTGGTGAATCTGACTCGGCTGATGTGTTACACAAGTGGTAAGAAGGTGATTCACAACATGAAACACACACATATAAGACTAATCTTCCTGTTTCTAAGAAGGAACTCTAGGGAAAAATATTTCTTATATTCAGTCACATACTCCACAGAAAAAAATTGACTGAATTTGATATACAGGAGATGAACGGACTACCCTGTTCTTGGAGCTGAGCATGCTCTTCAAGGAACACATGTAGATAGTATTTCCAAACCCAGGGGCACTAAAATAATTTCTCTCACCTGCTCCTCTTAAGAGAGAGTGATGGCACATCTAGAAAAGGGAGGTGGCTATAGCTGGAGAATAGTTTAGGTGGGTCCCCTAAAGTCCCATCAATTGAAATTTAATCCTCACCATGTGGTGCTAAGAGGGTCAAAACTTACTCTCTGATGTTTAGAAGTGGGACTCTGGGCGATGATCAGCATTAGACAGGACCATTAAGATGGAACCCAGAGATTAAACCTGGTGATCTCATAGGTAGATAGACATAGATAAGACATACATATGTGCTTCCTATCTCTTGCCTTATTGCGTCCCATGTTAACCTGGCAATCTGCCAATGCAATGCTCATTATCAGATGCAACCCCTGACCCTGGCTAAGAACTGTGAGCCAGAAGAGACCTTTTCTTTAAATACTCACAGTCTATAGTGGTCTTGCTATTAGCAACAGAAATAGACTCATGTAGGAGTGTCATTTTCAAGGTTTTTACTGCTGTGACAAAACACCATGATCTAAAGCTACTTGGGGAGGAAAGCTTATATTGTTTTACAGCTTGTACATCATCCAGGGACATCAGGGCAGGGACTCAAGACAAGAACCTGGAGCAGGAACTGATACAGAAGACATGGAGGGGTGCTGCTTCCTGACTTGCTCCCCAAGGCTTACTCAGTCTGCTTTATTATAATGTCCTGGGGCCACCTGGCCAGGTGTAGCATCACCCACAAAGACAGGGCCTTCCTACATCAATCATTAATTGAGAAAATGCCTTACAAGCTTGCCCACAAGCCAGTCTTGTAGGACATTTTCTCAATTGCTGTGCCCTATTCTCAAATGTCTCTAACCTGCATCAAGCTGGCATAAAAACTAGCAACCCAAGGGATTTAGTACCCAATTCCTTGAATCAGGCAGGACAGTGATCACAGCAGAAGGGCCCCCCAGAACTTGTAGGGCTGAGTCATCAAGGTGACAGATTTGCCTGGGACACTGTCTGATCATCAGGGAAGCACCCAGAGGAGTTACATGCTGTTGGGTTATCTGACAGCTCCAGCTGAAGCTGTTTAATGGCCAATATCAACCTCTAGCATAGGGCCTGGGAGCCTGAAGGTGATTAAGCTCTTACTCTTTCTGCTGCCCTGTGTACTGAGTGCACAAAGATAATCTTTCATCACCAAGTCCTGCCCAAACTGCAGATCCATGAGCAAAGCACATATGTCCTTAAGTCTCTGAATTTTGAGACAATTTGTTAGACAGCAACACCGAAAACAGCAGAGGTATTCTGCAACCTGCATATACAAACATCAACTTCATATTTTTAAAAGTAAGGTCAATTATTTATTGATGTTCTTTGGCTTATGTATAAGTTTATCTTGATCATTAATTTAACAGGATTCAGAATTACCTAAGGACAAACTTCTGGGCATGTCTATCAGGGTATTTCCGGAGAGGTTTAACTGAGCTAAGTCATACTTGGAACCAGAGAGAAGCACTTTATCATGGGCTAAGGTTCCAGAGAGAATAAAAAGGAGAAGGTAGCTAGAACACCAGTGTTCATCTCTCGCTGCTCCCCACTGTGGTGTACCGTAACCAGCAGTTATCCCTGCTGCCAAGCCTCCCCTTCCATAATGGATTCTAGCCTCAAACAATGAGCCAAAGCAAACCCTCCCTTCCTCTCTTAAGATGCCAGGTGTTTTGTGACATTAATGAGAAAAGTAAGCAAAGCAACTGATGATAGAGGGATATCTTATAAACTCATTGTACGATGGAAAACCTGGTAACTGAACAATGCATTGGCCATAACTATTTGACTGAACACCATAGTTAGCAACAGAGTTGTGCAGCAGGGGTTGTGTCCTCTCTCGTGTGGGTGAAGTGAGATGGACTGGGAGCTGTCCCTCATGTTGCCGTCCTGCCTCACAAGAGAGGTGTGGGAAAGGACAAAGGCCAACATCCACAAATCTGACTTGGTTTCTGTGGAATGCTTGTCATTTTCACACCATCGTGACGTTGAAAAATGGGAAGTGCAGTCATTGTAAACCAAGGATGATCTATCTATAGTCCTGTTCTTCACCATCCAAGTCGTTTTAAGAGGAAGTTGTAGAGATCTGGGGGAAAGTTTTGTCCTGTCCTATCGTTTCTTAGTTTTTTATTTTCTATAGACGTCACATGTTTAAGAAGCATTAGTTACTTTTCTGTAGTTGTAATAGAACACCACAACCAAGGCAACCTATAGAAGAAAGAGTTTATTTGGGCTTACGGTTCCAGAGGGATAAGAATGTCTCACGGTGAGAAGCATGGCAGCAGGTGGCAGGCAGGCCGAGAGCGCACACCCTTTGCTGCAAGCTGTAGTATAGAGAACGAACTAGAAGCAGTTGAGGCTTTTGACTCTCAAAGCCCAAGCCTACCCCAGTTAGACCTTTCCTTTAGCAAGGCTGTACCATTGAAACCTCCCCGAGACAACATCACCAACTGGGAACCAAGAGTGTGCATGCCTGGGACTATAGTGAGCATTGCTCAGTCAAATCATTACACCATAACAGAAGTGTAAATTCAGGCATTCCTTCTAGAAGGCAATTCACCCCCTTTCCAAAAGGGGCAACATGAATAAAAATGTGCATTTCTCCTGCCCGAGATGTCCCACCAGAAATTTCTCTGATGTAAATAATAGCTACGCATCAAATTTCTTATACATCTGAAATATTTAAGATAATTTAAGTTTCAACAAAATTGGATAATAAATTACAGAATACTATTTCATCATAAAGGATGTGTGCTTTGTAGATTTATTGATACGGATACAAGTTGATGATACTTTGGAAAAAACTATTCTCAAATACAGAGTTCCATTACGCAATAGTAAACACATATACACAATAGTAAACACATATACAAATCTATTCACAGACAAAGCTTGAGAAGGTGCCATGCCAAGTTCTCAAAGGAATTAACCACAGTTGGTAGGGTTATTAATTTTGTTTTCTTCCTTTTCCCTTTGGCTTCCTCCATGTAGTCATCCTGGCCCTCCTCCTTTCCCCCTTTTTTGCTTATCAAGATTTTTCCACACAGCTCTAATAGTTACATAGTTTTTCCTTTTTAATGACAGGACAATTAAAATGAGTTTAGTCGAAACTCCTTTATAACCATATCAGTGAAATCCTACAGACAAACAGAGTCAATAGGATGTGTGTTTATACATTCCTAGAGGCAGTGAGAGATTAGGAGAAGTTGGCTCATCTGAGTATGAAGGCTGACAAATCTTAAGCCTGCCAGGTAAGTGGCTGGAGTTCCGCTCCAAAGACTGCATGAGAAGTGGGAGCCACTGTTTGAGGGGATCAGGGGAGAGGATTCTCCCTTACTTGGGCTAGGGCCAGGCCTTTTGTTGTTGGATATTTGCACACTGCATGGAGGTGAATGGCTGTGATTGATGTAATAAAGAGCTGACAGGTCAATAGCTAGGCAGGAGGTGTAGGTGGGACTTCCAGGCAGAGAGAGAACCCTAGGGAGAAGAAAAGCAGAATCACCAGCCAGAGGAAACAGGAGGTGCAAGAGGCGAGAGAGGTAACGCCACATGACAAAACATGGATTAAAGAGAAATGGGTTAATTTAAGTTATAAGAGCTAGTTGAGACAAACCTAAGCTAAGGCCAAGCTTTCATAATTAATAAGTTTCCTTGTTATTCGTGAGCTGGTGGCCAATGAAAAAGCTTGCTACAGCCTTTTGCTCTATCTGGGTTTCCAACTAGCTGGTTATACCTACCCACATCAGAGAGGGTAAATTCTCTACTCAGTGCACACAGGGCAACATTCATCTCGGACCAAAAGAAAAGCTCACACAGAAAAAATGTTTACAAAATGTCCAGGTAGCAGGGTCTTAGTTGAGGTGTAAAAATTAACCATCAGAATGGGGAAAACGGCTGTAAGATAGAGTTGAAAAAAAAAAAAAAACATGGAAGAGCTAAGATAAAGAGGATTCTTTGTAGATGAGTCCTTCTGAGCTCTTACCGAGTTGTCTAATCAAACTCTTGTCATTTATCATCCCCGTCAGCATTGCATGTGCCAGCAATGAGTGAAAGCAGTCTATCTGATGCTCCATTT